ATGAACAAAATATGGAACTGTAAAATAAGCACAACATCTTCTACTTAATAAGCAATAGAGGGGATAATAAGAGCATGTTTCTATCCTCCCCTACCCCAACCATATGCTTCTTCCAAAAACTTATTTGGCCATCAATGGAAATGCAATTGAATCTGTCTACTACTCCCATTAACTCTCTAAATCCTTTATTATTGGAATACTATAAAAATAACATTATATAGTTAAAATGTAAAAAGCAATGAATTTAAAATTTGCATCTAGATAAATTTCCCAAAGTGCTAGTTAAATGATACCAGTCCTGATTTTAATTTGGATCTTAAAGGAACTGTAAGTAGTACTTGGTGGATACTCCCCCCTACACTGTCATAACCCTGTGTTAATCTTTAAAGGTCTCCTATAATAGTTCTGTGCTTAGTGAAATTCTAGGACCAATCCACCCTACTGTGATTAGCCCTAACAGGTTAGTTTTGATAAAAATACCTTTCATAGTTAACTGGTCTCTAAAGGTGTCAGAGCCTAGCATACTAGAGTGTAAAAAGAAGCTTCTGGAGAGCAAGATGAAATGATATGTGCATATTTTATCAGGTAATTGATTTCATCTTGCATCTCTGTGTCTGCTAAATGAATTAAGTAAACCTCCCTGCTTTGTTCTCAAAAACACACCAAATAGGGATAGGGAGCCTAGAGATAAGGAAAGAATGAAATTTACTAGCTGGATCTTACAGTCACATCTTGAATCCTAAAACTCAAGAGACTGACCAGAAAAGAGACCAAGTTCTCTTGGACTTGCCTTAGTAGTTATGGCAAATGTTGAAGTGAGTGGAAGACAATATGCTACTTTTTGGTTTTGCCAATATCATGTAATATATACACATATCCAAAATGCAGATCAATTTCTATCCTAAAGGTGAAAGTAAAAGGTCTGTCAGAATATATTTCTACTTAATATTCCAAGTTAGTAGAGATAATGAAGTATTCTCCGAAAGAAGAGAAGAACTTCTTCTATTCTTTCTAGGAAGAATCAAAAGGGAAAAAAGGATGTAAAGAGGCAGAGAGGAATTCTTGTCTTCATCAAGAGTTTCAGTGAAGATGGGACACCCAGGAATTTGAAGGCCCACTGAACAGTTAGTGCCATATAATAGGTAGGAGGATTTCCTTGATGAGGGAGAAGCTGGGCCATGGTTGAAGGAAGCTGTTTCTTGTGCTTCCAAGAATGGTGGTGTAGGGAGTGGAGATGTAGAGACATATTCCACCAGATGAGAGGTCGTTCAGCAATGGTCCTCAGAAGATAAGAAGAATAGTAGTGGTTGATGATTCCTTACTCAGGGCTACCAAGGCAGCTATTTGTTAACTCAATAAGAACAACAAACAGGACCACTATTATCCTGTGACACATGTCTGGGACCTGTTGGAAGGCCTCCAAATACTCCAAACATGACAACCTAACCATTTCTGGTGATTCATATAGGGACAAAGGATACCACTAGAGAGAACCTAGAAAACATTTTTGAAAGATTTTGAAGATCTGGGAAAACAACTAAAGATTTGGAGGTCATGGCTGGTGTTTGTAACACTACTGCTGATTGAATGTAGGAAATTCCAAAAAGAAAGGCATATATGTGAAGGCAAGTCTTGGTTACTGAGAACAGAATTTGAATTTTTAGATTGTGGCTTAAGATATATGAAAAATGGACTCTTAGAAAGGGAAGGAGTGTACCTAACAAAGACTGGGGAAAAAATTGCCTAGACTCTTGGGAATCTAATCAAGAGTACTTTAAAATTATAATTGAGGTGAGAAGGAAAAAATACTTGCATGTATCTGCCAAGTTGTATATCATAGAGAGTAGTAGCTACAGCCTAGAAAGACTAATATCAGCAGAGAGGACCAGTAATTCATAGGAGAATAATAACCAAGAAGAAAACAAGCAATAATAACAACAACAACCACAACAACAACAACAGCTAGCATTTATATACTGCCTTCTATGTGTCAGGCCCTTTATGAATATTTGATCATTTCATCCTCACAACAATCCTGGTAGATAGATATTGTTATTATTCTCATTTTACAGTTAAGGAAACTGAGGCAAAGAAAAGTTAAGTGATTTGCCCAAGGTCACAGCCCACTTAGCTGCCAATAAAATCCATGGCCTCAGATGTCTAACCTTGAGTAATAAACAAGGTGAAGTAGAGATCTTAATTTAAGGAGGTAAAATTGACCTCATCAATATCACAGGCATTTGGTAGGTCAGGACTGCAATATACTTATGGAAGGGCTCAGCTTATTCAAAAGAAATTGAATAATAATAAGAAGGTAATGGCATAAAGCATTGTATGTTAAAACAATACACTCATGTTAAGAAATCTATAAACAGAGGAGTAAGGGGGCACAGGATGGAGAGTATTTGGGTAAGGATCCACAGAGGAAAAACAGAAGCAGTATTGTTATAGGAGAACATCACAGAACACAAAACCAGAAGGAGGAAACACATGAGAAGTTTGAGATGTATCACAAACTATCATGGAGGCATGATATAGTGGCAACAGGGGACTTCAGTGATGCAGACAACAACTGGACTTCTCTGGTAAAAGAGTAGGTGATAAATTCTTGACTTGTTTGAATTTCATTTTTCAAAAGTCTGGACCCGATTCTGCACAATAAGGAAGGATGAGTTATTAAAGTAGAAATGACGTGAACTGGGACCATCAATCATAAAAAAGGAGAAACAAGCTGGGCATATTGTCTGATGGTCACTCTAGATTTTGAGAGGGCAGCTTTTGAAGAAACCAGAAAAAGGTTAGGTAGGGATGTCACATAGAAAGGCATTTGACTGGTTTTATTTATTCTCAGAGGACAAAACTAGGAGTAATAGGTGGAAATTGAGAGACAGATTTCAGCTCAACAAAAGAACAACTTCCTAACAATGAAAATTGACAAAAAGTGGACAGTGTCTGGACAGGTCATGTGATGTTCCTTTCCCTGTTCCTCCCTCCACCAGCAAAGGTTTTCCACCAGCAAAGGATGTAATATTTGTAATTGTAATATTTGTAATATTGTATTGAGGAATCTTGTTCAGGTAATGATTGAACTAGGTGAGGTCTGTGGTCTCCAAATTCTGTGATTCTGTACCTATCATACAATTATTCAGCAAGTATTCTGAAAGTGCTTTTATTATTGGCACTTGCTACTGAGAGATTACAACCTTGGTTCTGCTACTTAAGGTGTTTTTTTCTCATTTCCCAGAAACCAATAGCTACTGTTGGTGTGGTGGGACCTTAGAGACAGGAGGGGAAGGCAGGTGTAATAAGCAATGGAGGTTATTAATTTTCTCCCTATGCACTAGAAAAAAAAGGAGCTCAATATCAGCTGATAAAAAACAACTGGGCCCTGAAGTGGCCACTATTGCCAAGATGAGGGAGCATGAGTAGTAGTCTAAACACTCTATCCTTGTTTGTATTGGGATATCAGCTTGACCTGTGGGAAAACAGGCATCTATAAGTAGTAGTATTAACAGCTAGTGGACAGGTAGGTGGTGCAGTAGATAGCGTGCCAGGCCTAGAGTCAGGAAGACTCATCTTCTGGAGTTCAAATCTAACCTCAGACACTTACTAGCTGTGTGACCCTGGGCAAGTCACTTACTTCTATTTGCCTCAGTTTCTTCATCTGTAAAATAAACTGGAGAAGGAAATGGTAAACCACTCCAATATCTCTGCCAAGAAAACCCCAAATGAGGTCATGAAGAGTCAGACACAATGAAAAATAACTAAACAATAGTTAAAAAAATAACAAGTATAATAATAATAATAATAAATACATATAGTATTTAACAGTTCACAAAACACTTTATGTATTTGATCTCACTTGATCCTCACAACAGCAAGGCAGGTGCTATTATTATTCCCATTTTACAAATGGGACTAAGAGATTAAGTGATTTGCCCAGGATCACACAGTTAGCAATATCTGAGGCATGATTCAGACCCAAGTGTCCCTCACTTCAAGTCCAACTCTTCATCCATTCTGCTACAATCTTACCAAATAATCCATAGCTTCCCAACCTTATATAGGCAGTGTCAAAAGCACTGGCAATCAGAACACCCAAATGGAGCGGTACTTATTGCTTATACGTTATGGTCCAGTGGCAAATTATGCTAAGTTGTATATCAAAAATAACACTGGATTCGGAGTCTGAGCTACTGGGTTCAAATCCCTACTCTGTTACTCACTGTCTGTGTGACTTTATGAAAATCATTTAGCCTTTCTAGGCTTTAGCTTACTCCTTTTTAAAATGAGGAAGGTTGTCCTGGATGATCTTTAAGTGCTTTTTAGCTCTAAATCCTATTGATATGACATGTAATCTCGAGAGGAGGAAGGCGAAACATGCCTTTTGGATTCATTACCATCACCCTTCTGAACTTGTCAGATGTGGCCTTTATTATACCACAGAACGCACAACCACTATATACCTCAACTTGCTCATTGTTCCTTTTCTTCCTTCCTCCCACTTACCTCCTGCCACTTCCTCTAAAGCATGAAGCTTTCAACATCCTGCTATCCATTAGCATAAATAAAATCATGCTTTTAAAGTAATAATAGTTTTTAGTGCTGTATTTGTTAAAAAAAAACTACATTGCTATAATCGGATAAAAATATTCTTGGGCAACGAGTAGGTCATAAACCTTAGAGACAATACTATTCTATTACTGTGGTTCCCTGAAAGTCAATTTTATTAACCAGAGATTAAAACGTAAGGTCCTAGCATGAGATACATTTCTATCTCAGAAGTTTTCGATCTGGACTTCTGTACTCTCATGTTTTAATTTATTTTCCAGTTGCTACTAGGTTCTAGATGAAGATATGAAACACAAAAATACAAATAGCCATTTAAACTCAATTCTGTCTACATGACCCAATGGATAATACTATCCCAGCTTTCCTGCTTATTGTTCTGTCTTTACATATCTGTTGATATTAAATGTCATATAACATTTACACACTAGATCAAAGAGTACTGGGATAAAAAAGAGCAGAAGTGGCAAGAAATAGAAAAGAGAGATCTTCAGCGCCTGGAACAAGTGAGGAAAATAATGGCTGAGCAAGCAATTAAAGACCAAGAAAGGTAAAAAAAAAAAAAAAAAGGCAATGTGGGGAAAGAGTTGGTTGTGGTGGTGATTTTAAACACATTCTACTATGATATGTTGGGACATCCAAGACTTAGGATAGAGCTTTTTATTATACAGTACTGTTTTTTATTGTCGTGTGATGTTTCTTTAATTAATGAACAACTGTAATAACATCCTTTTAGAAGTTTTCATTCCAGTATTCTCAGAATGTCATATATAGGACTAAAATTTCCTAATTACCTTCCTGCGTTATCTTTCTGATTCCAAAATAGTCATGTTTCATGAAAAAATGGAAAAATTTCTAAAGAGGTTTTTATAATATTTGAGTGCTGGCTGTGAACATACCACTATAGTAAGTGCTTATACCAGGAGAATATTGGTGTTAAAAAGATGGACCTTTGTTTCAGAGAAAAGCATGGGATGGTTATTGCATAATTTTTCTAATTCAATTGCTTTATGAGCTTGTTGATGTAGGTTCACTTTCCAACGGTATACATCACAATGCATCAGTCATGACTCAACCTTGACGTCATGTTTGCCTACAGATCCACACAGTTTTCTGAAGAACTTCTAGGACTCTTTATATTTCATGGTTACCAGTGCAAAACTCTGCCTGTCCATCTGATATCCCTGGTTGTTCTAAAACGACTGATTTACCGTCTTTTCTAGTCGCACGTCTCTCTGGTGATGTTCCCTATGCTACTTGTCCTGTACCATTCTTTATTGGTAACATATTGCCCGTGCTTGGCATTCACCCTTTGTATGACCTCGGTGACTTTAATTCTCTAGAGACTGTGGTATTACATGACACAGCTCTGTAACTTTAGTTGAAGAATATGAATATTAGAAATCTGGGCCCTTATTTTAGGGAGAAGCTTTTGCTCACTAAAAGCACAACTTACAAAATATAATATAGCCCACTCTTTTATTTCAATCCAATTTTAGGCCCAGTTCAATGTCCATTTTTGCATCTGTCCAAGATATACTCTTTGATGAACCAGGTCTATAGGTTGTCCGTCTAAAAGTATATCATAATCTACATACTAGGTATTCTTATTCACTTGGTTTTTCATAAGATTGTAGATTTAGAGTTGAAAAGGTCCATAAAGGGAATGTAGTCCAACATCTTCGTTTTATAGGCAGGGAAATTGAAGCCCAGGGAAATTAAGTGACTTGGCTAAGGCCATACTGGTAGTAAATGACAGAATTGGAATTAGAACCAAGGTCTCCCAGTTAGCACTTTCCACTATGCCATGTCGTCTTCATCCTCCATGATATTGAGAGATTCCTTTGGTGACCATATGTCTTCACATCTTATTCCTATTGGAGATTATATGAATGTACATCAATTATATCACACATTATTGAGTTTGTCTATTGGCACTTGATGGAATAGTGGCGAAATGATTTATGTAAGGAGAGCTGAAGGGTTAACACTTTCCTCACTCCTATATGCTTTATCTTAGTAGCAAGGGGACTAAACAAACAAAATCATGGTGCGTCAGATTATCTACAATATTGAGAATAAAAACAAGCAAGGAATTTTCTTATAGCAAGACTAAGAAAAAACACTGCAAGAGGATATTCTGCCTTCCAACCGAAAAAAATTCTAGTGAAGAGAGACATTGAGTATCACTTGTGGTGCACAGGTCATAGAATATTAGAACTGTACAGTCATAGAATATTAGAACTGTACAGTACCTTAAAACTTAGTATTCCAGTTCTGTCATTTTACGCAGGAGAAAACTGAAGCCAAGAAAGCTTAAGTGACTCGTCCAAGTTCATGCAGCTAGTCAGATAAAGTTCTCCACAGGAATATAAGTATTAGTACATTTACAACAAAAGTCCCACTCCATTGCTTAATCTATACATCCTCTCATGCACCCTTATTATTACATGTTTCCTTCCCTTCCTTTTTGCTTATTCCCTAGTCTATTCTCTCTTATTTCTTCTCTTAAAATCAGGAATTAGTGAACTATGGCTGATAGGCCAAATCCACACGATCCCTACCCTGTTTTTGTATGACCTATGAGCTAAAACTCTATTTATATTTTTAAATGGTTGAAAAAAATCAAAAGAAGAGCAATATTTTGTGACAAATGAAAATTATATCAAATTCAAATTTCGGTGTTCATAGAGTATTATTGGAAAACAGCTATGTTTATTCTTCTACATATTGTCTGTGGCTACTTTGTCAGCTAGGTGACTCAGTGGTTAGAGTCCCAGGCCTGGAGTCAGGAAACCTCATCTTCCTGAATTTGAATCTGGCCTCTGACACTGACTAGCTGTGTGATCCTGGGTAAGTTACTTAGCCCTATTTGTCTCAGTTTCTTGATCTGAGTTGGAGAAGGAAATGGCAAACCACTCCAGTATCTTTGCCAAGAAAGCCCTAAAAAGGGTCACAAAGAATCAGACATGACTGAAATAACTGAACAACAATAACAACAAAATGACTGCTTTCTCACTGTAATGGTAGAGGTGAATAGTTATAACAGAGACTGGGTATGGCTCCCTCCTCACTTCACACTGGCTGTTTTGTACCTTATAATTGCTCAATAGCTTTTTGCATGTCATGAGTATTACTGTAGTACAACATTTTATTTTATTTTTCACTACCAGTGCATGCTCATTATGTCAAAACAAGAAAAGTGGACTTCCAATGGCATACAATACTCTATAGCGGTGCTAAAAGAATACAATACACATTGACCTTACCAGACTAAGCACTGATCATAATATTCTTAACTCAAAGGAAAGCAGCAGTTAGAAATGAGAAATTAGATATTATAAAATGGAATATCCTATCACAGCAGAATTTCTGGACAAAAATTAAAAAATGCAAATGAGGCTACAACCAAAGTAAGTTTCTTAGTGACTCATTTGTTAGCCAAGCAAGAAGAAAGACATTTACCAATGTTGAGTTGATCAAATCATATTTAATCGAAGCAGCTGAAGGAATGTTTCCAGAGAAAATAAATTTGTTTAAGGTTATTAGCCTTTAGTCTCAATTTAAATCTAATGCTCATGAATTGATATCAGTATTTGGCAGTACCTATCTGTGTGAAAAGACATTTAAAAGATGAAATACATAAAATCTCATTAATTATCATAATTAAGAAATGAACATTTGCATCCAATGTTGGTGATAGGGAACACCAACTTTGAACTCCAATTAATTGAAATATCTCTCCCACCCAAAACATTGTATTCCTCTCATTAATAGACCTGTACTATAAAAAAAAAAAGTTCTGTTCATTATTGTAGTTAGAATTTCATCATTAAAAAATTTGTGGAAATTTGTTTTCTCTCTTGTTATGTAGTAACTACAAAATATTCTTGATTTTGCCTTTGTCCTACAAAACCTAAAATATTTACTATCTGACCTTTTAAAAAAAGTTAGGTGACTCAATTCCTGCTGGAGAGCACTAAAACAGAACAAAATTACCCCCAGGCACTATGTGTTACTCAATTCCCTCCATGACTCTTGAAGATTTTAGGATTCTGAAGGGACATTTATTTTTTTCTCCTTATTAGAATGTAAACACTTCTTCATTGTATAGCCCCTTCTTGAATTACCTTTTTAGACTCCCATATTTGCATTTCAAAGTTTCTACTCAGCTCCCAGTCTTTTCATCAGAAATACTGGAATGTTCTCTAAAAGTCCTTTCTCCCATCATCAATTCAAAACAATCACCAAATCAGGTATACCACAATAACTCTGAAAAAGCAAATACTTAATCTCTTTACCAAGAAGAAAGCAATGGCAGCCAAGGGCAATGCCAGTTTAGAGAATGAGATCACTTGTAAAATATGGAGGATGACAAGAGATTATGAGCCATAGCATTGAAGCGAAGGCATTGAAGTGAAAGAAAGCCTTCAGAGAGCTTAGTGTGAGGCCCAGCTATTTCAAATTACCCCTAAAGCATTTTTAGCTGAACAGAAGAAAGAAATACTTTCATGGGACATATCTGCCAGTATTTTCTTAACAATTTATTTCAACTGGCAACAACAGTGGAATCCCACTGCATTTGGATTCTACCACCTAGAGACTCAAAGTACTAAGTAAAGAATTGGTAATGTGACTTAACAAGCTGAAAGTAGGAAGAACAATTGGATGTGATGGTAAGAATAATTCTTAGTAGGGTCCAGGAACCAGGAGACAACAATGTTTTAAAAGCCAACGGAGGAGAGAGCATCCATGAGGAGAAGGTCATTCAGTATGGAAAGCTTTAGATTCATCAAGAAAGGTGAGGACTTAAAGTAATTGGATTTAGCACGAAGTGGTTCATTAGTTATCTCAGAGACAAATGTTTCAGTCAAGTGTTGAGGTTAAATGACAGATTGGAAGGAGTGGAGACCTTCATCTTCCTTTTATCCCTGAAGTGTAGGCATGTTGAAATGTTCTCCCTGAGATATTCTTTTCTTTCTATGCTCTTTTCTTTGGCGATTTCATCCATTTCTAAGTCATCTCAAGCATATAACTCCCATAAGTGTATCTCAAGCCCTCACCTCTACACAGAGCTCCAGTTCCATATTTTCAGTGGCCTTCTAGAACACTTTGCCTATACATCTCATCAGTGCCTCAACCTCAATATGCCTATGAATGACCTTTTCGTCTTCCTAATAAACTTGCCAGTCTCTCCAATTTCTTTACTTCTACTAATGGTACCACCATCTTCCCAACCACCCAGACTCATAACCTTGGGAATAATCCATAATTCTTCCCTCCCTCTTACCCTATGTTTCCAATATAGTTACTAAGTCTTATCATTCTCACTTTTCCGTTTCTCTAAGAGCCTCTTTACTGTCACTAAAACTGTCCTGTGTCAAATAGATTCAACTGAAATAATGTATACAAGGCACTTTGCAAGTGTTAAAGTACTATATACATGTCAGCCTTGAGGAGTAGTAGTTTTTGTAATATGTAATATCCACATTTCTTCTTACCTTATAATAGCCTCCTGGCTATTTCTGCCTCCAATTTCTATCCTCCATC